CACACACACACACACACACACACACACACACACACACACACACACACACACACACACACACAGTGACGCACACAAACACGCATACACACACAGACAAATACACACACTCACACACACAATTGTGTCATGTATGAGAAACATCTTGTATGATTTGTATTTCGCGAAGGTGAGTGAAAGTGAACTGTCGACTCCTCAGTATACTTGTATGATCTGCCTATGAGCGGATGATAGGGCCGAGTATAAGGAGAGGGAGTGCAGTCGATTTTTGTGAAAGAATGTCACACACACGCACACACACACACACAAACACACACACACACACATACTCACACACATACACTCTCAATGCGGGTCATCTTCTACCTCCTATACATCAGTGCAGTACTGGAATGTTTCACTAATCTTTCTCTCTCTCTCTCTATCTATCTATCTATCTATCTATCTATCTATCTATCTATCTATCTATCTCTCAGAACTGCTCGCATCCTAGAGGCAATTGCAAAAATGTTCAATTGTGGCACCCTGCTGCAGGTACTAGGACAATCCTATTAGTTGTTTTTTTTCGTTTTCTCTCTTAAATTATTTTTGCATCTCACTACCTTCCTATTAATCGTTTTTCATACACATACATACATGTTTGTAATACTCGAATGTATTTTATTTTTTCATATGTAGCATGGGTCCATTATCACCGTATTGGTAACCTGTCAAATGAGTCGAAGGATTGAAATTCAATATCCAATTGAAGAAAAATTAAAAATTAAAAAAAGAGGAAAAGTATAATAACAAAACATACGAAATTTTCTCTCGTCGTTAGGGTCATACACATAGAAAATAAGAATAAAATATTTGTTATGCGAAAAAAAAAAATAAGTTGGTAGTGCCTCATGGTCGAAACGAATATAAAAAATTTCGTTTCAGAGGGAAGGGTGGAAAGGGGTGAGGTTTGCTTTGGGAAAGTATGTTTCCATGTTCTGGCAGTAGATTCATTCAATTTTACTTATTCTATCGATGGAAGTAGCATGACTCCAACCGCTTGTATTTGGAGACTTACTTGTTCTCTCCCTCTCTTCGGGCCTGCCATATCGTGGGCCGCCACCAAGTCCATGACTTCGTTCACATTAGATAAACTGAGTGAGAGCACCTCAGCCCTTCCTTCTTCTTCCGGCTCTTCCAGAAGCCCCCGCCGCTCGTTCTCGGACTCTTTAATAGTGAACGAGTTAGGGTTGGGCCGATTCCTCACACTTCGGGATCCGGTGTTCCGACAGGTGACAACTTCGTAGTTCTCACACGTTGGATCACACAGGAGCAAGATCATCTTACCATCGTGCTTGTTGAAGACCAGGGTCTCCGTCCTGCACAAGAATGATCTTCCCCGAAGGATGGGGTGGTCCACGTCAGGCATGACGAAGAAACAAGTTATCACCTTCATCAACTTCAACGACCACATTTGAGGTCGTCCCACAAAATATCGCCTTACAATTGGCACCATGCAGGATGCCACAATATGAGCGGTTTATCTCCATACCCAGCCTAACTGCATTGACTTTTCGTAGGATATTCATCTCTGCACCCGTATCCACTATAAAGGTGCACTTTGAACTTTCCACCATCAGATCCACAAACCCGCAGGCCACACACTTTTAGTTCATCCTTGTCCCCGTTTCCGCCCATTCTGCCTCCTTAGGCAGAATCGTACTACGAACATTTGGCACCAACCGCCGCAAAAGTCTTCCCTTCAACCCATCACGGAACTTGGGAGCGGAAGTCAGAATGTCTTTCAGGTTCATGAGGTCATTGTGACCTTCAAGCAACCTGTCCACCATCCTCTCCACGTCGAAGCCTTCTTCCAGCGGGACCGCATGCTTCTTCTTCTTTGGTGCCACATCACGTAGAATTGGTTCGGCCTTCTCCTGGACTCCTCTTTTCTTAGCCCTTTGCTCCGCCCTTTGATCTTCTTTTTGGCGAAGCCTCTCATCCTCCTCATCTTCATTGTCGTCCTCCTCGATCTCCACGACCTTTTTCCATCGCTCTTGCTCAGGCTCCTTTCGAGGAGGCTCCTGACTAGCGATCGCCTTGTTCTGGGCCCTGGTCCGGGCTGCCTGTTGTACCCTCCCATGTGAAGTAGGGGGCCTAAAAGTTATACCAGACCTAGGCCCTGACCCCACTGTCTGTACGCCAGGATACCCTTGTCGTGCTAGTACCGATTCAAGGCCGAATTCATAGAGGAAAACCTTGGGGAGATCGGGCTTCTATTCCTTTACCTCTTCACATATCTCTACCAGCTTTCGTTGGTACCTGCCCATCTTTACCCATAGGTCCTTCATCTTTCCCAAGAGAACTGACACCGATTCCACCTCTCCATCCGAGCCCTCGTCGTCTGACTCAATAATTATGCGTTCCTCCCATATAACCCCCGCATGTGGCCGTTGGGTCACTTCTCCACTCTCTCCCACTTCTTCCACCCTGATAGACAGGCCTTCCTTCTCCTGCCACATCCTAAACATGGCTGGTGGCGCTTGCCGCTCGGCTACCCGCCTAAGGGCTTCCTTCCTGGTCCCACCAGGAATCTTTGGATCGATATATTCCCCAAACTGATCATATATATCTCCTTCTATATTCGAGGAAATCAATCGTCATCGCGACGCTTTTGGCGAAAATGCAGGGTATGGTCAATCTTGTCACAATGTTGACAAGTGGCATTTCACCAGTCAAAGCGAGGTCTCCCATACCCTTGACCTCCTTCATGTTCACCTTGGCCACCCTGCTTTTGGTTAGCCTAGCCATTTCACCGGTCACCCCGTCCTCCACTATTCCAGCCTCGCCCTCTTCCGCCGCCAGCCCGGCCTCCTTGACCTTGGCCTCTGTTCCCCTGGCTTCCCTGCTCTCGATTCCCTTCTCCAGCCACGCTCGCTTGCGAACCTTGCTGAGCGGGCGGTGGAGGTGGCGTCATGGGCTGGGCCTGAGTTGCTAGGTAACTTGGCGGTGCTGTACTCGCTCGAGACCCCGAATAAGGCACTATTTGGCCAGTCGGAGCTTGACCACTCACTCCTCATGGCACATACGGACTAAACATAGGCCATGGTCCCATCAGACCATAGGACGACCATTGTCCATACGGTGGCAGTCCCGCTTGTGAAGGCCCTGCACCACTTGAGGACGCTGTTGTACTTCGTGGAGCCACTGTCAACGCTTCAGGCGCTTGCCCTTTTCTGGAGCTCTGCCCGTCTTGTGCCAGATTGCGCTGCTTATGTCGTGCCTTTACGAGGTGCTGGGGCACCGTCTCCTCTTCGTCCCACTCTCCTTGGACAACCTTTTCCACAACCAGTTCATGTCCTCTCCCTTGAACCGTGGTCACCACCTTTCTCTGCACCACCGAGTCCTTTCCATAACCCATCTTCGCGAGCACCTCCGCGATGATCCGTTTTACCCCTAGAGTCTCTGTAGTGGCCTCATCACGCTCCTTCCGCGTTTGCCTATGAAGACGCATCTGAAATTGATGGACATGATCCAGGTCACCATCCTCTACGACCTTATCTATCGTGGCCCGGGTGAGTTTATCACTGCCCCCACCTCGCTTTGTCAACTCCTGAGCCTCAAAAGCACTAACTAGCCCTAAAAAGATAGCACATTGTTCCTCCTCTTAAATTCCTGGAGCCTTCCTCACCTTCTTCTTAAATTCTTCAGCAAAGGTCCCGACAGTAGTATAGTCATTCATATTTATCGCTTCCAAATCAGCCACCCTCAATAGACCGTCTCCCAGTCTATACTTTCTTTGCATCCCATCTTTAGATCTCGCCCAACTGTCATTTACCGCCATTATGACCTTCTTCACTTCCTTATGGAGACCATGGTACACATACTTTAGGGTGCGCTGAAATTTCGCCGCATCCGCCAGACCCACCATTGCCTGCTCCACCAGTTCCATCCAGTCAGAAACTTGTTCCTCTCTAAACAAAAAGGTCTCGACTTTAGGAACATTGCTTCATGGCAAATTTCTCCTGTCCAAGGCTTCAACCAGGTCGTCAATCGTCATTCTTTTCCCATACCATCAGAGATACCTTCAGATTTCTGCCATCTTAGTCGATCTCTTGATGCAAGTGTCCCTGTTAAGATGAAGTAACACTTCATTCCGCATGCCGATCCATCATCAGAATAACCTCACTTCCTACTCATTCATATTATGCTCTACGACCTTACTGATACTGTATCTCTCTTATCTAGACCCACATTAGCAGTGTTTGTCTTTACAACAAGATATCGCTCACATCCTAATCGAATATAGCCCTTAGCCATTTCTTGTTTTATAGTAGTTAGTCAAGCAGCCAACTGGGTCAATAGGATGAATTATTATCAATATTAGCTTCCTTAGACAGACAACCCACCCTTAACTTGGATCCGATCTCTAAAATGGTTTCTCAGTCTTAAGTCACCTGAGTCGAAGTCAAGATATCACGTAATCATCCTTATAAATATAAGAAAAAACTTCTCATTTTTGCCTATTTTTACGTTTCCAACCCGAATGTCGTTCCACCAGGGACAACGGTAGGCAACCGTTGTCCCCAACAAAGGCGCCACCTGTCGAGCACGTCGCTCCCGCCATGGGCGGGACCCTCTCGGCCGCATCACGCATGAGTTGGCCTATTCGCAGTACAAATGGAGCTTCCACAACCGCTTCGGCCGAGTGCGCCAGTCATACCTCTTGCGAACCCCTACGACAGGATAAGGTCTATGCGAGCTACAACTTACCTCCATCTGCAGGAGCGGTCACCTCCCTCCGGTGGGTGTATCCCTACCGAGCTACCAGTCCACAGTACGAAAGCTAATCAGTTGCAATCAAAGAGGTAGGTCAATCGATGGCGTTTTCTCGTACACTGTAGCATGGGGGGTACACGCGGTCCGACGCATCTATCAGACCCGCACACGAACCGACGCTTTGGGGGGTTGAAGTCCCAAGTGTGACTCATCGTCGATCGACTAGGACGCAGCTCACTCACCACACGTTACAACACACTGAAAACATAAAATCAAAATACATTCTCAATGAAACACACACTCCTAGTCCCTGTAGTATCAGACCCATAACCTTTTGGCACTGAAAATGGTTGGGCGTCACGGGAGAGACTTAATATAAAATTGCACGGACGCAGCGTTTTCTCATATCGACGAGCAATGCATCCCTACACAACCAGTCGCAATGATGGTATACTATGTAGTACCCATAATCATGTGATCCTCGATGATCTCGAGGGTCGCGTTCGACACTTAAGTGTCGGCTGACACGCGTCTTGAGGGGTTAATATCTCGATGTTAAACAACAGCCAAGGCGGTTGAGAACCACACCCTCTTCTGCACCCTGCGGAAAGTGGGTGGTACACAGGTTCATACATGATGTGGCAATCGTCTTTCCAGATCTTGGAAGCAACCTCCATCATCCGGCGTCTGGAGAGAGATAAAGGGGTTTGATTTTAACGGTCGCCACGAACTCCAACGTCCAACAATAAAAACTTTAAAAAACAAAGGATAAAAGGGGTCCTTCCTTTTCTCTCAAAGCCTTAAATGTTTAACCCTTACGCACGGTCGCGATAGACCATACAGACACTCAAGGCATATTCATATACATACATAAAAGGGGGTATATAATATGAGACGATCACTTCTCACAATCACAGTGGGGCTCCCTCCAACCATATATGTATCTAATCGCAGGCAGTCACATCCAGAGTCCGAACCACAAACATACCTACATTCACATCAAAGATTCAACCAAAAGTTTATACATTATACGAGGTCAACTTCAACCATTCTTTGTACTCACACCCCTTGCTTTAGTCATACAAGCTTCAGCCTTTGTGAAACCTTCTATAAATAAAGCACTCAGTACCTTTGTTAAATAACCATTCAATAAAGTATGTGATAAAACTCAATGAACCAATTCAAACCACAAGGTTAAAGCCTTTAGGTTCAGTGGCAAGAATGAATTGGAGTTGAATCGTAAATCGACGAATCGGCAATCGACCCATTATCAGTGATAACAGAAGATGATCCTCGTAGGATCGAGTTGAATCTAGTCCAAATCTTGAATCGAATCAACTAACGAAGGAGATGTAATACAAGACAGGATAACGTCCAAGCTAAGCTTATTAGTGCATGGAGAATAATCTCCAAATCACGATCTCTCTGAAAATCCTTTTGATAACCAAGTCTAAATCTACCTCTAAGTCCATGCCCAAAGAAAGGTAGACCTTGGTAAAATATCCCCTATACAGGATGAATTACCAGAATCGTCACCTGTCAAAATATAATCCAACTCCTTTGAACTACAAACATTTCGGCAGCACTTCGTGTAGGAAAAGTGTGTTATCAAAATTTATTCATGCCTGAATATGAAAACTAAAATAATTTTTAACTCTTGAAAGTAATATTTTCTCTAACTCCCCGAATTAGTAAAAAATTAGGCAGCATCTCCTTTACAAAAGTAAACTTTCTAGATTTATACTATGTCAAATAATAACTCATCATAAAACTTGAGTTCTTACAAGGCAAATTTTAACTAACTCTTTAAATTGTAGAAATTTCAGCAACGCTTCTCATAGAGAAAATACCTTTCTAAAATTTATAAAAAGCGAAATACTAATTCTAAAAATAATTTTGAATTTTCAAAGTCAAATTTTGTCTAACTCCCTTGGTTAGCAAAAATTCAAGCAACACTTCCCCTAGAAAAATCGGCTTTCCAAATTTTTACTCAGCCAGATATAAACCTGGACAAAAATTTTAACTTTAAAAGACAGATTTGACGAACTCCTTGGTTTTGTAAAAAATTCGGCATCGCTTCTCGTAGGAAAAGTGTCATTTCAAGATTTATAGAAATCCAAGTACAACAAATGATCCTACAAAATGCGAGAAATGGCCTAAGTAAAAAAAATTATCTTAGAAAATGCAGGAATTTAATTAAATTCTATAGCTCCAGCACGTGGCGAGCAACTAAAGCAATTACCTGCCAAATTGAAACTCATACTAAGTAGAGATCTCACCCTGCCACATGCAAGGTCAAACCATAATGGTAAGTACTTTCACCTGCCCCAAGATCAAACTTTGTTAAACAATAGTTCTTCAATGATTTTTCTCTTATACCCAGCTTACACAGGGCATAAAGTTAGATCATCCACACTTATGGAAACATGTCTAGCTCAACCATTGGATATACACAAGCATAGGGCACCACAACTTTTCTCTTCCTTAGGCATATGACTAAACTATCCAGCCTAGTCGCCCCGAACTGTTTAAAATATCCAAGTTATATATACCTTTCACCACCTTAATCTTTTAAGGCAGCATATGATTGAACCATTCAACTTAGAAACAAAGTTTAGTCTGACCCTTCGGACCACAATTTTATTTTTAATTGATACTCTCTTCAGTTTGTGATCAGTTATAGTTAGGGCATCCAAACTTATGGAAACATGTCTAACTAGCTTGTCCATAAGTAGAATAATCAAAATTTTACCCTTTTTGGTTTAAGAATGTGTGTGGCTCCAGACCAGACCATCCAAACTTATGGAAGCTTGTTTGGTCTTTGTTTGATCTTCCCTCATAATAGACAAGAAGAAGTTAGAGTCATCCAAACTTATGGAATAAGTGCTCTACTCCTTCCATAAATCAATAAACATTAGAAACCCCAAATAAAATAAGGCAATCAAGCCATCCAAACTTATGGAAACTTGCTTGGTTCCTGAAAAGACAATCGTAAACAGCCCTCGCAAGTCAGAGAAACCAGATCATCCTAACTTATGGAAACATGTCTACTCCCTCAGGCAATCAAAATAAAGCATAGCACTAGGCCGTCCAACTTAGTGCAATGTCCAGCCTCTGCTTGACCCGGTCAAATGCAATCAATACTACCTTCCTCCCAACCCCCCTCTAGATGAAAGTCATTTTCACAATCTGACTTCAGGCAAAACAAAAAAAAGAAAATTGAGATTGTTCGCACATTCTTTTACTCAAGTTTGATTTAGGTCCGGAAAGTCAAACTCAATGTCAAATAGGGATGCATGCAGTACACTTAGTCAAACTGTAGCAAAATGTACAGATAGGGGTTATAACTGGGTTTATAGAAGAAAGATGAAGTCTTACCTCTAAGTTTCCTGCCTCCAAAACTCCTCCAGGTTTCGACAGAGCTACCGCAATCGGTGGGCAAATTCCCCACAGAGTCTTGATGCAGTCTTACGGGTTACAATCCCGCCTGCCACCTTCCTTTCCTAACCACAGACTAGACTAAGATTAAGAAGGGCAGAAGGAGGGGTTTCAACTTTTAGAGATATGAGAGAGAGACATACTCAACTTGCAAGAGAGGGTCTTGCAATCTTCAATCGTCTGAGAGTCCCACAATAGCAGCCAGAACGTGCAATAACCTGGTCAAACTAAAATTCAGCTTCCTATCGTTGACTCTCTAGCGTCCTCCCAACTCGCTGCAATGACTCTCTTTTTCATAAATTGCCTAACAGTAAGGTGTCAGGAGTAACGACAGCATTATCAACGATTGTTCATATGAAGGTTCATTCGAAACCCAGCTCGCA